ACCTCATAGTTGTAGTCCCAGGTCAGTTCAGTGCCAGCGCGAATGTACCTGGAGAAACATAACAACAAGTCATACCTTGATACACTTAATGGACGCGAATTATAGTCCTCATTACAAACTAATTATTTTAGCAACACAGGGAGAAATGGTATGACACATACAAATGGGTATGGGGCCCCTTCCCCCTTTGTTGTGCACCATTTAGTTAAACTATAAAAGCTTTATTCAAGGGGATTTGTTGGGCAGATGGCTGTCTCCATCCCAGCACTCTAGAACTAGAGGCAACCTGCAATGTGTTTTAAAGGCAAACCATCCAAAGCCACGGTTGGAATAGAAGTGGTTGTTTAATGTCTGAGGGTGGGTGTATGGGGGGCGGAGAGGTGTTCTTTTCTGTTGATCCCTTAATGGCCGAGGGTGGGTGTATGAGGGGTCATTTTTGTTCATGTATAAAAGCTAATGGAGCAGCTCATCACAATGAGAAGGTTATCTGAGGATGTGAAGAGGGCGACTCATCTAAAAAATATTTTCTTTATGTTCCATGCTGATCAAATTATAACCTTATTTTCTTTGAGGGGTAAAACAGTTTAGAACTGTACATGTGTGAATGTTATGGTAGGCTCCCAACCATTGATCCACCACTGGAAATGTGGCATAGAAAAGGCAAATAGTCAGACGCATCCACTTACTGGCCAGCAAAGAAAGCCACCCAAGGAAACCTCAGGTCATGGGTGTCCACAAATATATTCTGTACAAACACATTAGGGCTGCAGCTGTGCTGTCAACAGACAAGGGAGAGGAAAACAGAAACATGAAATTGTAACCGAGAAGAAATTTAAATACCGTAAAATATGAATGATAAATTGAAAAGATTTGAAAAGATTTGTGCCTTGTAGTATTCCATTTTAACCAAACATGTACTTGCGTCTATATATTTTTGTGACAGAAGAATTCAGTGTTTTATTAACAAAAATATAATAATTATCTTTTAATGATGTAAAAAAACATAGTAATGTGAAGTAAAAAGTTTTTTGTTTTTTTTTCAATTTGAAATTAAATTACAGGTTGCAACATATTATAGATCTGAACATTTTTTTCTGAAGTGGTTCTTTTACTTACCAGCCTGTAACACCTGTCATAAACACTTACATTTAAATATCTGCCAAGGTTCCCCATCAACTTGGCATCCATGATGTAGCATTCTGTATCATCATGAAAATGTAAGCGAGTTGGGAGGCGTTCTTTCTTCTCTGGTGTCTCAACTGCAGGAAAATGTTGGTGTAGAAAGTAAGGCCAAGACAGCTCAACAAAACAAACACACACATTGGGTAAAAAAATATATTTGGTTTCAATAGAAAAGAAAAAGTAACCAGCAAAACATTTGATAAACAATTTCTTGAAACTCAGAAGTCAAGAAGCTCAGATGGAGAGAAGTCATTTTAAAAAAAACTACACCTTTCCTTGTTCATCTTTATGTGGGGAATTTTAGGGGGGACTTTTGGCAAAATTAAACTTTGCAATCAAATGAGGGTACTAAAATTAATTTGACTTTCTTCTTTTCTTCTTGGTTATAGGTTGATCAAATAATTTTTTTTTCTCCTTTATATTTAACTTTGAAAAATAAAATAAATCAACTCCAATTCAAGTTTGTTTTAACTTCAAGTTAGATAAGATTTTCAACATCTTGTGACCTTTGCATTGTTTCCCTTAGTTAATAGCATCTCTCATTGCTATCAGACACATATTGCTTGACAAGTAAAACTAGATGCCATTTTAAAATACTTTAGAAGAAATGCAATAATTATTTGTTTTATCTCTTAAACTTAAACAGAGAAGATATATTTTTCAATGTTTTCATTTGGATAATTATAAAATGACAATTTGTCTAACAGATGTATCGGTAGTTAAAATTTACAAAATATATAGTAGAAAGAAGAATGTTAATAATTACTTCAAATTGGTTTAAAATGACCATTCTCTGACAAAAACAATATTTTAAGTCTATATATCTGTTTTGTTTTCTTCCATTAGCTATCTGTAATGATCTTCCATAGCTATCTGTAAAGATAACTGGTTATAAAATACATTTTTTGAGTTTTATCTGTAAAAAAAAAAGCCAACAAAAAAGCCTTTCTTCTTGGTGCCTTGAGTTGTTTGTCAGTTCCTCTGTTATTTGGTCAGAATTTATTCTTGTTGTGACCAAGTATTAATGCAATTTTAAAAAAAATATTACTGGAATCACTTAGATTGGAGTCAATAGAACGTTAAGCCAAGAGTGAGGTGAAATACTTCACCAAGACAAATGCATGCAACAGAGGCCACATACCAAGGTTGATGAAATGACGGCAGATTTTTATTGTAATCTTATTTGCAATTGTCCTGGAAGATCTTATCTTATGAAGTCTAAAATACAAAGCCTCTAATAAATCTGGTCTTTTTTTAAAGGGATTTTTAACTCTTGCTAAATATTAATATATGACTGACATTCTTCCATCTTCACGAGAGGATGGAGTAGCTTATTAACACTTTATCAAATGGCTTAAGTGCAGTCTTGGCTTGGCTGCATTTCTGGCAGGAGAACCTTGACCCCTGGTTAAAGTTGGCCCTCCGTAACGCTCTTTTGTTGCAAGGGCTTTGTTGCGCATATCTTCTGCCTGTTTCACTCCCTCACATATTGCCCTTTGCCAGCTGGAACAGTAATCAGCAATGGTCTCCCATTCATTGATTTCTATATTGGCTTTCCTAGCATTCCTTTTGCAAACGTCCTTATAAGTCTTTCCCACCCGCCAACTCTCCACACAGCAGAGTCTTGGAATACGACCTTCCTCCATTCTCCTTACGATGCCCAACCTGCGAAGGCACCTCTTGCTAAGAGCAAAGTACATGCTACACATTTTGGCATGTTCCAACACCACAGTGTAAGGCACTTTGTCCATCGAATTAAAATATTTAACGCATACATCTTTGGTGGAAGTCTGTAAAGTTTCTGACTAGTATATGTGGTCCCCACTTCACTGCCATACAGGAGTGTACTGAGCACACATGCCTGATAGAGACTTAGTTTTGCACTATCAGTGAGTTTAGAATTATTCCACACCTACTGTCCACCTCATGCAATTTGGCCATAGTTGCTGCTGCCTTTGCGATCCTGCGGTTTACCTTTGTCAAAAGAGAGTGAGCTACAGATAGTGGATCACTATCAGTGAGTTTAGAATTATTCCACACCTACTGTCCACCTCATGCAATTTGGCCATAGTTGCTGCTGCCTTTGCGATCCTGCGGTTTACCTTTGTCAAAAGAGAGTGAGCTACAGATAGTGGACCAACTACTACCAGGTTATGGCCCTCAATATGTTTGGAGGGGGATTGCGTTTCACCCGACCTTACATTTGCTTTCTGTAAAACTCACGGTCATTCCAAACTCTTCACTTAATATATCAGCTTCAAGTATTATTGCCGAATTTTCTTTATGGACTTCCTTTTATCAAATAAGTTCTTTTTTTTGTCCATTCATAAAAATAAATAAAATAAAGAAAACCCCCCCAAAAAAAGGTTACTTTTCTCAGGTACTGGCTCCTGGCTTGTTTTGTAAGAAGTTGATAAGTTAAATCTGGAACCACCGGTGCTTTTCTTGGCTCTGCTCCTCAACTTTTTGGTAACTTGAAGTGAACAAAAACACATAAATGTCAGCTCATTGAATATGATTTGGTGGGGGGGGGAATAGAAAGAGAGAGAGGGGAGCAGAGAGAGGGGGGAGAGGTAGGGGAGAGAGAGGAGGAGAGGGGAGGGGAGAAAAAGAGAGAGTCAGAGAGGGGAGAGGGAGGGTGAAGAGAGAGACTGCACTCTGGTTAGGTAGATCAGATACAGTGCAGATGTCCTAATATTTTTTTTGTTGTAAGTTGTACCATTGATACTAACCTCATTTACACACATTTAATTAATAACTCTATCATTTACCCACAGTTACTCAACTCCTCCCCCCCCCCCTTTCTTGTTCACTTAGTTCAATATGTTTGCCAACAACTGACATCAAGCATTGATACAGATATGTCAGTGTTTTTGATTTATCTTACATAAAACCTACAACATGACTTTTTATTTCTTCTCAGTGGCTTTCATGTCATCAATTTATTTATAAAGTCAACAAAAATAACCAAGGTGGCCACCATGAATTGCCAGACTAGATGTACAGGAGTTGACCTCCAACATGTGAGTGCATGGGTCAACTCTGACCCTTTCCCCGCACCACCCCCTTGAGATAACGGTGTCAACTCTGCCCCCCCCCCCCCCCCCCCCCCCCCCCCCCCCCCCCCCCCCCCCCCCCCCCCCCCCC